CACCTAGGAGCAACCCCATCAGCTGCCTCAGCCTCTTCCCTCCCCTGTGTCCCCCTGACCCCACAGATGGGAGAACAAGGACATCTACGCAGCTGCCATCCGGAGCCTACGGTTGCGGGAGCTGCAGAATGATGAGTGCGCCACAGCCGTGCGGGCGGGCCTGGGCTCCATTGTGCCCCTGCAGCTGCTCACCACACTCAGCCCTCTGGAGATGGAGCTGCGGACTTGCGGCCTCCCATACATCAACCTCGAGTTCCTGAAGGTCAGTGCTGGGGCTGGGCGGGCAGGCAAGGCCTGTCCCAGCACTTCCTGTGCCCCAGCACCCTCCTCACATGTGGGAGAAGCTGTGCTCATCCCTATCTCACAGCTGAGTAACCTAAAGCTAAGAGATAAGTCACTTGCCCAAGTTCACACAAGTGGCAGAGTCAAACTTTGTACCCAGATCACCTGCTTCCAGAGCTCAGGCCTTAAGCCACCATTCTGAGCTGATGGACCATTCTTGCCAAGACCCCTCCATGCTTCAGCTCATGCCAGCTTCTCTCAACTGGGCCCTGTGTCCCAAGGTTGCTTCTTCCTACCTGAGAGACCTTGCCCAAGTGACTTCACCTCCAGTGGGAACGGTGACAGGAGCTGCCCAGTGGGGTCAGTCACAGTCACACAAACCAGCACTGATACAACTAACTTTGCGGTCACTGTCATCATAGTCCTCGCCCTGGGCCCTGCGGCCATCGTTTCCCCGCTGCACTCTGTCCTGGGATTGGCCTGCCCTGGGGAGGCCCTGGGTCAGCAGAGGCCAGGTCTGCTCACATCGGGGGGCCTTTCTTCCCAGGCCCACACCATGTACCAGGTGGGGCTGATGGAGACGGACCAGCACATCGAGTTCTTCTGGGGGGCCCTGGAGATGTTTGCCCAGGAGGAGCTGTGCAAGTTCATCAAGTTTGCCTGCAACCAGGAACGCATCCCGTTCACCTGCCCCTGCAAGGACGGAGGCCCCGACACGGCCCATGTGCCCCCATACCCCATGAAGATCGCCCCCCCAGATGGCACAGCAGGTACTGCCTTCCCTGGTCATGTGCCAAGTGGGGAGACACAGGCCCTTCTCTGATTAGAATGGGGCCCTGCATGAGGGAAGGAGAACAACAGATCAGGGACCCCAAACATTAAAGCCCAGATGTAAGTGGCGGAAAGGCCAGGGGTCACATGCCTTCCAAACCCGACCTTCACCAAGTAGCAATACAGGTCCAATCCTATATAATAAAGATGTAATATGCAAATGGTTGTTAGGCCCTGAAGCGTAACGACCGGATCACAGATCAGCAGGAGGGTGGGGCAGCGAGTTACAAGTGGGCGGCAGAGAGCTACAGGAGGGGGCAGAGGGAACTATAGGAGGGCAGGGCAGTGGGCGGAGAGCTACAGGAGGGCGGCAGCGAGCTACTGGCTACAAGCGGGCAGCGGAGAGCTACAGGAGGGGGCAGGGCAGCAAGCAACTGGTGAGCTACTGGCACATGGATTCATGCGCAGGGCTACTAGTGTTGATATATTCTCTAATATTTGTAAAAGCTAAAAATCTAGACATGTTTTAATCTTTCAACTTTTAAATGTAGCAAAAGAGCCCTAGCTGATTTGGCCCAGTGGATAGAGCATTGGCCTGCAGGCTGAAGGGTCCTGGGTTCGATTCCAGTCAAGAGCATGTACCTCAGTTGCAGGTTCCCGGCCCTGGTTGAGGGCATGCGGGAGGCAACCAATCTGTGTCTCTCTCACATCAGTGTTTCTCTCTGTCTCTCCCTCTCCCTTCCATTCACTCTAAAAATCAGTGGGAAAGAAGATAAAATAAAAACCAATGGAAAAAATATCCTTGGGTGAGGATTTTTCAAAAAATTGAAAAAATAAAATAAATGCAGCAAAATAATTTAATTAAAAAACAAACCCTTTGCTGTCTGCAACAAGATGGCTCTCAGGTCAGCATTCTGGTGCCTGTGCTGGACAGCAGTGGTGTGTCTGCCTTTTCTCCTCCAGACTCTTCTGCACCACCTCCCGCCCCATGCGTGGGGCCAGCCAGGCTTAGGGCTCCCAGGGATCCGAGCCCAGCCGCAGGCCCAGCCCTCTAACACTGACCCCGTTTTTCCCGTAGGTTCCCCAGACTCTCGCTACATCCGCGTGGAGACCTGCATGTTCATGATCAAGCTTCCCCAGTACTCCTCTCTGGAAATCATGCTGGAGAAACTGCGTTGTGCCATTCACTACCGCGAAGACCCCCTAAGTGGCTGAAGGGAGGGAGCTCCAGAGTTAGGCTGTCACCGAGGCACTGCTCTGCCGGCTTAGAAAGCCTGCCACTGCGGGCATGTCCCTCCAGGGAGGGCCCTGCGTGAGGAGTTGGCAACATTTTGCTTTTCTGAACTTTTGTCCACATTCCAGGGCCTCCTGGAAGACTTAACCTTTTGTATTTGTACGTTCGTGATGGGTTGGTTCTTTTGCTACCGTTCATGGTGTTTGTAGGGTAGTTTAGTTCCCAGTTTGTGTCTCATTTGATCTTCCTGGACACTGTCCTTCGTGGCCACCAGATTCTGATGCCCGAGGGCCCCAGATGGTTCCACATCACAGAACCACCCAGCAGGAAGCTGGCGATGAAATGCCAGCGACCACTCAGAGTCCTGTTCCTTCCGAGAACACATCCACAAACAAGCCTGTGGCCAGGCCTGCCCCACCTGCCTGGAGCCGGAGTTTCTCCTGGACACGGCTCCTGCAGGCCTTTTCCATCTTGACGTGGTTGGACCAGTTACCTAAACAGGGAGGTTTGTGTGTTAATCTTTAGAGCCTTGTTCATGGTCTGGGCTTTTCTGAGGAAAAGTCCACAGTGGTCCCCCCTCCCTTCCCATTCAGACTCTGCTCTCCGTCAGTTCTGGGACCCTGGTCCGCGTTTCCCCAAGTGCTGCTCGGGAGCAGGCGACCAGAGGGTTCCTTCTGACGTTGGTTCGCAGAGGCAGGCGGCTGCGTCCCACTCCAGGAGGTGAGAGGACACCTGGAGTCGGAGGGACAGTGCTCAAGACGGACTGGATAGGAAAACACGTGACGCAAGCCTTCCCCACTCCTGTGCTCAGAAGCGGCCCTTCCTCGCTGCAGTGGGATGAGGAGCTGAGGAAAGGGTCCCGCGCCCACTTTAGAGCTGTCTGAGGTGCTCTGCTCAATTCGGGGTCTGCTTCAGTGACTAAGACCTTCCAGTCCAGATGGAGACGCAAGGGAGGTCCTTCTGCCCCCCGGCTGGGCCCACCCAGCACCCCCCTCGCTGCCCCATGTGTGTGTGTGCCAGGGCTGGGCTGCCCAGCTCACCCACTGCCCCAGTGCATTTGTGCCCCCCCCCTGGGTCTTTGTCCAGTGGTACTTTGTTGAAGAGCAGCATATGCCATCTTGTTGGACTGTCATTTGGGCCTTGCCAGTTCTCACAGAATTCATCACTGTATTTATTGTATAATATTGTGAATATTGAAGTTCTGAGTGAGTGCTGAGAGGTGGTTTTGGAGTGTGAATGCTGGTGAGAGGAGGATGTGCTCCTTTTTCCTCTGCCTGTTGGAAACGTGGATTTTTGAGCCGTTAGCATCCCATCTCCTCCCTGTTATTCCTAGGAACTGCATTAAGGACCATTGTAGAAAAGATCCCCTGCCCCAAGGAAAAGATAAACCTGGGTTAACCATCCCGTTGCATCACTTATATGTGATGCGGGACCAGTGTCTGGAGGTGAGTGCCTGCAGTGTCCCCGTCTGGAGAACGTGGTTGGCCACAGCCCCCTAGACTGGAGGTCACAGCAGGATGTAGTCCTGACAAGGATCCTCTTGTTTCATTTCTGCATAATGAAAGAGCCTTTGGATTTATTAGAAGTGGTTTTTCCTCCTGTATTTTTAAATTCTTAGTTCCCTCTAACCCTTCCCATCCCTTAAATGAACTCAGAATTCTGTTCGCTACCTCCCCATGAGGGGGTTGGGAAGCTTCTGTTGGCCAATCACTTGATTAGATGATAGCTGTGAGTTATCTGCTGCTAACATGACTGCTTCTCCCAGAGAGCACATTGAGGTCCAGACAGATCTAAACCTTGGCCCTAAAACACATGTGCTGTAAAGTTACTTGATGTGTATTTATTATAATTATTTATGGTTGCATTTAACAAACTTTTCATTCAATTTGATGCTATTTACACCACTGCTGTGTAAAGAAAGCTCACTACAGGAAAAAAGTCTCACTAATAAATAATCTTCATCTAATTTTGATTTTCCCTAAGAATTGTGTGATCATCTACTCTTTTTTAAAAAATTTTATTTTTCAATTACACTTGACATTCAATATTAGTTTCAGGTGTACAACACAGTGATCAGACATTTACATCTTATGATTACACAGATCTAGTATCCACCTGATACCGTAATTACATTATTGACTGTATTCCCTATACTATTTTTTACAACCCATTTGACTGTTTTTATAACTGGCTATTTGTACATCCTAACCCCTTTACCTTTTTCACTCATCCTCCCAACCCCCCTCCCATCTGACCACCATTCATTTGTTCTCTGAATCTGAGTTTCTTCATTAGGTCCATCCATGTTGTCGCAAATGGCAATATTTCATTTTTTATGGCTAAGTAATATTCTATTGTACATTTACACCATTATCTTCTTTATCCATTTGTCTACACAGACACTTAGGTTGCTTCCATGTCTTGGGTAATGTAAGTAATGCTGCAGTGAGTATAAGGGTACACCTATTTTTTCACGTGAGTGTTTTAGATTTCTTTGGATCAATACCCAAAAGTGGGATTGCAGGACCATCTGGTAGTTCTATTTTTAATTTTTTGAAGAACCTCCTTACTGTTTTCCATGGTGGCTCTGAGAAGGAGCTATCCCTGGATCTGCTAGGGTTCCAGGAAGCAGAGAAAGCCTAGTCCTGCTCAGCTTCCCCCACACTCCCTGAGGTCGCCAGAGTGCACAGGAGAAGGAACCACAAGACTCAGGTAAACTTCAAGTACAAACTTTATTTCTATTACAAGGATGTTAATAATTATAATAATAATAAAATAAAAAGAGGGAGAGGGGGCTCTGATACTTGGTTTATAGTTAAGTCACAGAGCTTAGGCCTCAGTCCCAGTCAGGCAGAGCCCAGCAAGGCCCTGGCAGGGACAGGGAGTCCCTCACTGTCTCCATCAGAAGGCAGTCAAGACAAAGGAGCCGTTTCCCCACCGAAACAGAAGGCAGTGATGCCAAATGCCAAAGAAGCAGATTAAAACAAAGCCCGAGTCCTTTCTAGTTCAACTCATCTCCAAAAGCCTGTTCCTAACATATATTGCAACTGACCTGAACACCTTCTCAGAGCTGCTCCACACATAAACCAGAGTCTCAATTCTAGAGTGGGGAGCGGCAGCACACACGAGGTTACCCAAAAGTTCCCAAACTTAGGTCCCTGCAGGAAAAAGAATCACTTTACTGGTGAATACCAGGTTTCCACACCCTCTCCTCTCTCCACCAGGACCACACAGCACCAAGAAACAGTGGTGACAGTATGTCAAAAGAGGAGCCCTGGTGGGCTGAGAGGCCATAAGTTGTATTTGTGCTGCCGAAAGGCAGCAGCTAAAGCTGAAACAAATTTCTTAACAGCTTCCCTGCTAGCCCTCCCTCCAACCCCCAAACTCCCACATCACAATCTCAAAAGACACAAAATGGTTGTATCTTAAAAAAAGTTAAATCTAAAATCTCCCCTGCCCACAGAGCCCGAGAGGCAGGGCCTGCACTGCGGCTGCGCAGAGAAATGGAACCCTGTGCAGGTTCTCGCAGACACCATTACTCCTCCTCTTCTTCCTCGGCATCACCAGCTCCCTGTTGCTTGGGGGGTTTTGCCTATTGAAAACACAAACAAAAGCCCACATAGAAAGTGAAAATTCAGGCAGTATACCTTCAGAGCTCTGAGCTCTGAAAAGTCAAGCTTCCATAGAAACCTCTTCATCAAAAGGTAAACGAACAACCCTTCAGCCACAAGCGGCCTGTTGCCCAGCTCCTTCTCTGACTTCAAGAACCATACATACCACACCCCCAGCTCCTGAGTCCTCACTGAGCATTTCGGGGCTGGATCCCCCATTACCTTTGCAGTCCTGTTGCGAAAGCTGGCAGTTGTGGCGGTGACCCTTGAGTTCCTGCCACCTTCACTCCTACCACTGAAAGAGAAGGATTGGAAACTAGTTTCTAAGATGCCCCTGAACAAAAGTCAGACCACTCAGAAGACAAACAGCTGGAACCAGACAAAGCAGCTCTCTGTGAGCAGACAAAACAAACCAACAACAAATACCCAACAAATAGCAAGAGAACATTTTGGAATCAGGCCATAGCACAAGCAAAGTCCACACTCTCAGGGTCTCCTGAGCTACTCACAAACTCCACTCCTGAGCTATTATTACCTTGGCCCATGTCTCCCTGAAGGCCCACGGGAGAAAGAGGGCGCAAGGTTTTCTGGGTAGAGATTTCGAACAGAGCGAATCACTGGAACGTGCCCAGCAGCCATGGGCCCATTATGGCTGTTTCGATTCCGCCCCCGAATGTCCTGGCTGTCTAAGTTGTTGAGCTTCATTACGCTGGGCTGGGAACTAGATTTAGGGCTTGATGTGGATGTTGACACACGGTTACAGGTAGCCATCATATTGTTAATGGGTCTGCTAGGGGGAAGAGGGTAGGTGGGCACTTTAGCGGTTTCCTGCTTAATATCATCCATGTAACCAGAAGACAGGTCTCCTGCAAAGAGAAGAGAGAACCAGTTTTAGGGAAAAGACTGCTCTTGCTATTAGTGCTGGAGTTGGAGCAGGAACATGAAGATTCTGGGTAGAACAGAATTCTGGGTAGAACTGCCTCTCATCTAAAGGCTGCTGAAACCCAAGTGTCCAGACAGGGTTAGGAACACCTTTGTCCACACTGTATGCTTATTATTTGAGTCCTCATATAACTAACCAACAATGATGTGTAAGCAAACCTTGAAAAATAATGTCTAACTGGCTTTGTAGCGAGTTTGAAAAAACAGTTTACTTGCCTAGTCCCTGAGACTCTTTAATAATAATGATGATGATGATTGAATACCCTAAGCAAATTTCAACTAGAGGCAGGGGTCTAAAAGTTATCTCCAAATAGTCCACTGATGAAAGCTACAGCTGAGTAATCACTGACTACCAAGCCAGTACCCTCTAAGCCTACACTCAAGACCGCTCAGTCTAACATGGGACCACAACCGCTAGTAGTGAGATCCTACTGTGCTTGGTTCAGGATTCAGGGGACCCCCATGTTAGAGCAGCGGATGAGAAACGGTAAACAGGCCCGTGTCAGCAGCAGACCTGCAGCTTTGGCTCAGCCCTGGCTAATACCCTGGTGTCTGACACGCCTCTTGGGCAGCTCTGGTGAGGTCTCTCGAGACTGGAAATCCTGTCTAGGAATCTCCTCCATCACATGGTTGTTTGCTGTGGCTGGGCGTTGGTCACACTGGTCCTAACAAAACAAAACAAAAATTAGTACCCCCGGGCGGAGTCATTGCTTGGAGAGGGAGCAGTGGGAAGAAAGGAAGGAGCAGCAGGTTAGGGGAACACACCTTATTCAGGGTCTTTAACAACCACTGAGAGGAAGGGCCTAAGACTAAGGAAACGCATCTAGAAAGGAGCAATCATTGCTATTAGCACCCAAGGCACTGAAGAAGCACTGCCTGATTTGTGCAGGGATCAGGAAGGGCTGGTGTCAAGAGCCCTAAAAAGTATACCTATACTTTGACCACAGAGTATTTGCATGGTTGCTTATTTCAGAATCTCCCGTAGGAGACAACCAGCAGTCATTTATCTACTGCTTGACCCAAAAGCAGAAGTCTTTATTTACACGAATGAAATTTGTGGTGTTCTAGTAACAGCTATATGGCATCAACTACAGAAACGATCCTGAACACACCTGGAGTGTTAGCTCCCTATAACAAACAGGGAGTGGGCAGAAAATTGTATTCCCTACTAACAGATCTGAATCCTAGCAAAAGCTGAGAAAGGACTTCAAATTGTCTAGTCTAACTCCTTCATTTACAGATATCCCCAGTGAGGGAACAGGATCTACCCAAGGTCAATAGTAGAACTAGCCCCAAGGTCTCCTGAAATGCAAGCCTCAAATACCACCACAACAGAAAGAATCTGCCTGGTCAAAAGTAGAATATATTAGTGACATCAGGAGAGCTCTCATCTCAACCATGCTGACAAGTCCTCCACACCTGCATAGGAGTCCTGACTCCTTGGTCATAAGCTAGTGACATGATTTCAGTTGCCAGATGGTAAAGAAAGCTCACAAAACAGAGCATGTCCAGTAGACACGTCAGGTATGCATGCAACTTAAACACTAAAGAAGCATTCTCAGCTCTGAAAGCCCCAGGTTCACTCACGGGATCAGCATGGAGTGAAGTAGACGGGTTCTTCAGGGACTTTTACCTGGTGATGGAACAGCACCTCCTCTTCCAGCTGGACCCCACAGAATTCACATGGGATGATGATACCGCCCTCCACAGAGGGTGCATTGCTCAGGCCCATCAAAGAGTTGAACTGGTTACTTGTAGCCTGCTGCAGAAACCTCTGGAAGATGACATCAGGGTCCTCCTCCACCTCTTTGAGGGAAGTGCTACCCATGTTAAATGAAGGTAAGGCACTGGAAGGGTTACAGCTTGTCTGTCTCAAAAGAAAAAAGGGGGGGGGGAGAGAAGGGGGTTAAAAAAGTTAAAAAAATTACTAAAACATTTTCTAGGAATCACAAAATTTTAGTAAGGCTTAATACTGAGGAGAGGAACTAGAAAGGGTCAGGGAAATGCAGATGGAATGCTCACTTTATTTTTATTTTAAACATTTCTGTGCTTTTTCCCTTTTTACTGTGTTCATATGATTATTCTTTTTAAATTAATTGGAAAGATTCAAGATTCTTCTCACAACCACATAGCGAGAGAGAACCAAATATTCTTTCTTATCCTGTTAATGGATTTTCTTATGCTGCTCCCAAACCAAAAACTAGGTTTATTCAAATATGTATTATTCCACTTATGGGGTTGCTTAAGTTTTAGAAATGCTAGACTAAGCCAATCCAAATCAGAGCAAGAGTGTTGAGGGAAAAAATAGTTCCCTCCACTAGGCAATCCTAAAACAAAGTCTAATATTCTCTAATCGTTCTTAAATGGCTCAAGAACTTTCCTTTAAAAAATATCTGACACCTTTCATATACCAGGTATTAAGATTCAGAAACTAGGAAAACCCAGAATCTGTCAAGGAATTCAGCCTAGTGGTGCAGATGACAGGGAATCAGAAGACACCACATCACAGGGTGACAGACTAAAAGAGAAGTGGGCACCGAACTTTTAGGGTGCACATAGGTGGGACCGCTAACCTAGTCTTCAGAGCGTCACTCAGGATAGTTTCTTGGAGGTTGTGTCTGAACCAAGTCTACGAGTGAGGGGTCTGTTGAGGAGGCAGGGGTGGAGGCCACATGGCTTCCAGGGAGAAAAAGTGCAAGGACCCCTGACCCTTCCAGGGAACTGCAAGGACTTCAGTACAGCTCCAATAAACAAAATGTGGCATGAGATGAGACCAGATTACATATGGTCAGCAGAGACATAGAGTAGTCACCACATGGAGGGAGCAAACTGGGCCTGCTGGAATGAGCATTACTTTTTCCAAGAGTGAACAAGACTATGTTCTCATAGCCATATGTCAGCCACATCATGGTAAATAAAACACAGTTTGCCGAAACCGGTTTGGCTCAGTGGATAGAGCGTCAGCCTGCAGACTGAAAGGTCCCAGGTTCGATTCCGGTCAAGGGCATGTACCTTGGTTGCGGGCACATCCCATTGGGGAGTGTGCAGGAGGCAGCTGATGGATGTTTCTCTCTCTCATCGATGTTTCTAACTCTCTATCTCTCTCCCTTCCTCTCTGTAAAAAATCAATAAAATATATTTAAAAAATAAAAAATAAAACACAGTACACAGTTTCTGCTCCTATAACAGGCCTATTAAAATAGTTGGCTCAAGACCTCATGTGGCCTGCAACACCAACTGTGGCCTGCACACGTTCCTACTTAAAACTCTCCAGGAATTCACAACACACCTGATGGTCGATCAGCAATTCCTCTGGGTAGAGCTCCTCACAGAATTCACAAGGCAACATGGTCTCATCAGCTGCACCTGGGTATCAGAGGCCACACAGATGCCAATGAACAAAAACAAATTTGATTCAACCTGTTGTTCCCCTGGTGGGGTTTTAATTAAAAGTGTGACTCCCTTAGATATTTCAGAGATGGAGCAATTTGTGGGGCTGTAAATCCTCCCAGGGAAACTGCCCAAGAGACAAACCCCAAGCAAAAAAATGCCACTATGGAAAAAGATTTACTGGCCACCATTCCCTGAGTAGCTAATATTAAAGTAGTCACTTACCCACTACTCTCTTTAAGAAAGAAGTTTAAATGTGCAATAACTTTAGGCACTAATCAGCCGTATGTGCATTATTTCAATCCTCAGGACTTATGAAGCCTGGCCAGTATTGCTCAGTGGTTGGAGCTCAATTCCCAGTTAGGGAACATGCCCAGGTTTCAGGTTCAATCCCCAATAGGGGGCCTGCAAGAGGCAGCCAACTGATGATTCTTCCTCATCACTGATGTTTCTATCTCTCTCCCTCTCCCTTCCTCTCTCTGAATTAAGTAACTAGAGTTTGGCCTTTACATGGGTTTGAGTCCAAAATCTACATTTATGATTTTTAAAAACCCAAGCCAAAAATCCAGTTTAAAACTGTCCCCGTCAATAGTATCCCCAGGTGCCTGCTAGAAGCATATATAAATATTCTGAGGAACATATCAGAAAACTCAATGCTAATTTGTGTGAGTGCATATAGAGAGGGAGGCAGCAAGCCACCATGAGTGAGTCAATAGAAACAACGAAGACCAAAAAGAGTTTGATATATTTTCAGACACAATATAAAAATAACACATTTAAAGATATGTTAAAAAGGGAATTGTAGTATGACTAAGGTATAAGAGATTACTTTGAAAATGATGAGACACACTGAAGAAAAATGACAAATATATGTTATGTGCATTTAGTTAGAATGCCGTTCTTGAAATATACATCCTAAAGTATGTAGAGATAAAATGTTATATCTGCAGCTTATTCTCAAATGGCTCAAGGGGAAAAAATTATAAAGATCAAAGAAAAATACTAGAAATGGTGAATAAAGATGAGGGGTATATAAGATATTTGCTATACTATTTTCTAACAGTTTTTAAAAATAAAAAGTCGGAAAAGCAGTGAACAAACAAAAAAGGCAAATTTGATCTCATGAAAAACTTTCATTTTTAAAATAAATTGTATAATGTAAGAAACACACATAACTGTGGAGACAGAGGCTAGTGAAGATAAAACAAACCTACCCTTTATGTCATTCAGAGCATTGGGACCTCCAAGGGACTGCTCTGCCTCACACACAGCCCTCCAGAAGTCCTGCTCTGCCAATTTGGGGGCCTGGCCTTCATTTTGCAGACTTAGGGCCAACATGAAGTCCAAGTTTGAACTGTCTTCACCACCCTCTATAGGGGACTGTTGGCTTCTATTCCTTTCTTGCCTTTCTTGTTCTTCCACTGGAGGGAAAAAAAAGTAAACTAGTTCTCAAGATACATTAGAAATGCCATGCTTTAGCTCTAATCCATGTCTACAAATATTCCAGGTTTATAGCATCTATGCAGGAATAAAAGAGGCCCAGCCCTCCAGTTCTCACAGGACTCCAAATATTAAGTATGCCATGATAAAAGGTTCCATTACTATTTTAATTGTGTTATTAATAAGCAATATTATTGAGTTTTGGCTATGAGACAGGCACTGTGCTAAACACTTTGTGTATTTTCTGCAATGTAGAATGGTTTACCGCATGGGGTCAGATTGCCTGAATTCAAATCCCCGCTCTACCACTTACTTACCTACCCTCATGAGACTCCTGTGAGAATTAAACAGATTTTGATAACCTTCTAATCCCAAACACAACTCACATAGATTATTCTGAATTGGAAACTGGGTTGTCATGTTCCTTTGGTTGGTAGTCCTACTATGGGAAAGTTCCGATTCTGAGGCTCTCAGGGGCCGTCGAGGTAGCCTCATGGGTGGATCCAGAGACTCAATTTGTCTGAGGAGCTGTGATGCAATCCATATTCCATCTTGACCCCAAGACACATCATATGCATTAGGAGGCACGGCAGCCTCATCTCTCTTTTTCTCCCCATCTCTCCTACAAACTTCTGGGTGAGTCTTCAGATCTTTCACCAGGACATTACGCCCACAATTGCCACATAGCTCTGTCCGGGCACCACAGTAATCTTCATGGTCCTTCAGTTTAAGAACAGAAAGTTCCAAATCACAGTGCTGGCAAAGGGCAAGCCGCAGAGGACACTCAGTCTCCTGCAACACAGAGTAATGAAGCAGTTAATATGGAAATCTAAGAGAGGCCATGTTTTAGTACAGGGCAAGGAAAGCAAAAAAAGTATTTACTTCAATATTCTCTTCCAACCCTAGCCTCACCTGCCTACCATGTTTTTCTATGAATTTAAGAGTCAGGGCTTCTCACTTTGTCCCTGCCACCAGGTTCTACAAAGGGAAGAAAACTTTAGAAGGAACCTACTCACGCAACCACCCTGACTTATTTTGTGCACACATTACAAAGTTACCCAAAAGCAGCCAGATAAGCCCAGGAGCAAAGAGCAAAAACCTAACAATTCAGACAGATTTGTGAAAGTTCCACCAGCCCAATTTCCCTTTACCGTTCCAATTTGTCTTAAGATTTGGTAATGCGGAAAAGAGAACGCCTTTGAGAAAGACACTGATTTGTCTAATCTGCATATTTGTATTACAGCACTGACTTTATATTGACCAAATAAGCCAAGAATCACCAGTGAATATACTATATTCGGAAAATGAAGGACATGTCACTGATTTAAGTTACTCAACAGCAAAAGAGCAAATAATCGCTGGCACTTACTAGATAATATAGTAAGCACTTTCACAACTCTAAAAAGTGCTAGTAACTCACCAGAACAGCATATAAAGTAAAAACTTTATTTAAAGGAAAAATTTTTTAAACTCTTTAACTCTGGCCTACACTGTCATAGTTTTATTTGCAGGAATGTTAGGAAATAATCTGTACTCAAATCTTTAAAATAACGGCTATATCACCAATGTGAACCTCAGAAATAGCTGGGAGAGAAGCCAGAAGGGGGGGCAGTTGATTGAAGGTTGTTTATGTAGCAGGTAGACATTAGATCCAAAGAAATACTTATTATTGTTGTTAATGTGACCTCAATCATAGGTCAAATGCTTAGAAAAAATAATAAAGGTAAGAGTGCCAAAGTACTTGTGAGACATTTATCTCTAAGCTGTGGGGTTACAAGTGACTGTTTTCTTTTATATCTTTTCTAATTTTTTTCCTTGAATATAAATTACTCTTTAAAATTATAAACAAGTTAATTTATTTGAGACAGGATGAAATGCACAAATCTTAAGTTGCATACCTTGATAAATTTTTCAACAATGGACAGTTTTATCTCAACTAGGGACCAAATGATACTATGTTCTCTCTCACCAAATGCTCTCTGAGAAATTTCTTTAGGTGTAAACAGCATGATATCCAGATGATCAAATCAAAATGAAATTACAAGCTGTAAGGCAGGTGTGGATAAGGAGGTCATACCACATTGGCAACCCCCAATTTGGATTAGCACTCAGTGAGGCTGCAAAGAGCCAAACCCCAGAATGAGAATGACAGACTCTGAGGCCTGAGCATGGGGGCACAACAGCCATGCAGCGGATCTGGCAACAAACAGCGCCTCAAACAGGCTTTGAGAGGCGATGTGCACGGATCTTGTAGAGAACAGACAACCAGACTAGCTTTCTGTTCCGCATGTGGCTCTGTAATCTCACACTTGGCCCCATAGTAACTCACTCCCTTCATTGTACAGGGAAACTAACCTCATGATTCTGTAACTGCCTCTTCTCCAACTTCTTGTTACATTTGCAGGTTACCTAGGATAAATAGTAAAAAACAATAAATTGGCTTTGTGAGAACTTGCTCACTTGCTATTGCGCAATAGCAAGTATAATACATTAATGAACATTTGAGTCCTTAGTGGTTCACCTGACAGTGTTCTGTAGCCATGTGAGTCTCCATGCCAGATTTGGGAAATGGTTCCTTGCAGATAGGGCACACACCAATGTTCCTTTGACAATGGATCTCATGGATGGTAAAGTTACACAAAGGAATTTCCCTTTTGCTATAGAATTAGATCAAAGAAAAAGGCAAGCATTACTAACCGATCTAGTCACAGTTGTTATCACGTGAAAATCTGTCTTGTCCAATCTTTAGTCTCCATTATTTCCCTTTAGCGAATATCTCGTCTATTAGCTCTTATGATTGTTACTACCCCTGCCTTTCAAGAATCAACTCCTGAAGGTTTGAGTCTTCTGTGCAACACTCTGAATTATCACTGCTATACACTAATTCTAAAAGCTCAACCTCACTTTCTAGATGTCAGAGCTGATCACAACCAACACATGAAGTCAGATAGTCAGATGCCAAAAAGAGCTGAGCTAGGCTTTTCCAAAACCATCCATGCCCCAAAGCACAATGGTACACTTCAGTATTATTAAAAAAAAAACCAAACCTACCATTTATTTTCACTCTCAGTCCGAGATTAGATTTATTCCACTAAAGGTCAAACCAGGCTGTTGGAGCTACTGCATCAACCTCTACGTTTGATCATTTGCAATGTCTATCAGAGAGGTCCCAACAGCAATGACCAATAGCAGCAGTCCTATGACTGTGAAGGCCCAATAATCTGCTGGCTATGACTTCTCAGAGCAAGGGCAATCTGTCCCTCCAGACATGATGCAGCCATACAGCCATACACTGGGCAGGTTTTCCAGCCAACGTAGGCATATAGTCCAACTACACCTCACCCATTCCATGGAAACAACTCTGAGGATGGGCCACCTTTAGTACAAGAATTAGGTATCAATTCTGACTACATCTGGCAAAAAACACTAACAGTGTTAAATCCATTCAAAGTAGCACATGGGCCCTAGCCAGTATGGCTCAGTGGACAGAGCGCTGGCCTGGGGAACGAAGGGGCCTGAGTTCAATTCTGGTCAAGGGCACATACCTCGGTTGCAGGCTCCTCCTCAGCCAGGGCCCTGGTCAGGGCACGTGCAGGAGGCAACCAATCGATGTGTTTCTCTCACATCGATATTTCTTTCTGTCTTTCCCTCTCTCTTCCACTCTCTCTAAAAATTAATGGAAAAATATCCTCGGGTGAGGATTAAAAACAAAGTAGCACATGGAAGCATCATGAATAAGACTGATTTGGCAGGACCAATGTTTTCTTGGCCCTGTCTTTGGAGCCACATTGTTACTGCCTGGCAAAATCCAGTAGGCCATGCTTATGGATGGGATCAGTGCAATTGAATGTCTAGAAATGTTTTGTGTGATTTTTTAAAATATATTTTTATTGATTTCAGAGAGGAAAGGAGAGGGAGAGAAACATCAATGATGAGAGAGAACCATTGACTGGCTGCCTCTTGCACGCCCCCTACTGGGGATCGAGCCCACAACCCAGGCATGTGCCCTTGACTAGAATGGAACCCAGGATTCTTCAGTCCACAGGCCTATGCTTTATCCACTAAGCCAAACCAGCTAGGGTGAAATGTTTTGTTTTTTAAACTTAATGAGTATGACATGTGTTTCATTTGGCTGTGTGGCAAGTATCCTGGATAATGTCTTCTTCCAACGATCCTACTTTCCAGCTTTGCAGTGATTTTTTTTTTTTTTTAGCAGGATGGTATAGGAATCATCTCACTGCTCGAATTATTAGATGGTATAGTTTTTCTGCTTCCAAAATTTTTATTTCTGCATTAGACTTATTGTGATGAACACTTTGTAAGGTATATAAATGCTGAATCACTATGTAGTATACCTGAAACTAATATATTTTGTTAACTATAATTTAAAAATAAATTTAACAAGAATATATATACAAACAAGAGGCACATAGTATTCAAAGGCCTAACCTTTTACTCATTTGGATCTAACAACTGGAAAACTCCAATTTCATAGGCTAGCTAAAGAAAAGACTACATTAAAAGAATGTGCCTATAAGTATGTCATCTAGAATAAGATCGCAGACAAAATACTAATATACTTGCTTCCTACCTACAGATAAAATAAAGATGTTTTAAAGTGAGATAAATGAGAACACAATTCTATATATTGATAGAACTGCTAAAAACCCCAAGATAGAACTAGCAAGTTAAAGATAAAGTTTCATTTTAGATAGAAATGGTTGCAAGGCGAGCCAAGACTTCATGAAAAATTCCCAGCCCTAGCTGGTTTGGCTCTGTGGATAGAGCCTTGGCCTAGGGAACTGAAGGGTCCCGGGTTCGATTCCGGTCAAGGGCACATGCCCAGGTTGTGGGCTCAATCCCCAGTAGGTATGCAGGAGGCAGCTGATCGATGATTCTTTCTCATTATTGATGTTTCTCTTTCTCTCTCCCTTCCTCTCTGAAATAAAAAATATATTAAAAAAAAAAAAAGAAAAATTCACATTAGCCTCCCAAACAATAAACATAACAAGCCAGAAACAAATTCTTTAATACATGCAAAAATAAAAAGCTGAAGGAAGCTTCTGTTCCCTAGAACCATTCTCTTCCCAATCAGAAGACACCTTAAGAGTTAACATGCAAAAACATCTTTTCTAATCACAACTACTTTTTTTTTTTTTAATATATTTTTTTTATTGATTTCAGAGAGGACGGAAGAGGGACAGAGAGAAACATCCATGATGAGAATCATTGATCGGCTGCCTCTTGCAAGTCCCCCACTAGGAATCGAGCCCACAACCCAGGCACACGCCCTTGACTGGAATAGAACCCGAGACCTTTCAGTTCAAAGGCCAAGGCTCTATCCACTGAGCCAAACCAGCTAGGGCCAAACTACTCTTTTTACTGGTCTAATCGCAGCTCATATTTTGAAGAGTACCTTAATTTTTCTTCGAGAATAGGAATATGGCTCTAAAGACAAAATTTTAAAACCCGGAATTTAGACAGGGTTACTTAGATGGGAGGTCTGTGCTAGCTTAGTCAGCCTCCCATGCTAATCTGCTCTTTTCTTTAAATAAATTGCTTTCACTTTGAATAACCTTGTTTTCATTAGCTTTCCATTAACTACCGCCCCCCCTTTTTAATTCCTTTGGCAGTTATTTATAGATTGTTCTAGGTTTGAGATTCCTTGGACTGATAAATGAGATTATCTCACCCAGGCCAGTGTGGTTCAGTTGACTGGGTGTCCTGTGCACCAAAGATTGCTGGTTGGATTCCCAGTCAGGGCACATGCCTGGGTTTCATGCTCAATCCCCTGTAGGGGGCATACAGGAGGCAGCCAACTGATGTTTCACTCTCATATCCCTCTTCCTTCCTCTCTCTCTATAAGTCAATTTTTAAAATATTTTTAAAAAGAGTATCTTAACTGATGCTAAAGTCATATATGTTTTCTTATAAAACCACAGTGATGTTTGCTTGTAATTATTTATATCATTGATTACTTTGTATTAGTTTAAGAAATGAAATCTTGCCGAGACCGGTTTGGCTCGGTGGATGGAGCGTCAGCCTGCGGACTGAAGGGTCCCAGGTTCGATTCCGGTCAAGGGCATGTACCTGGGTTGCGGGCACATCCCCAGTGGGAGATGTGCAGGAGGCAGCTGATCGATGTTTCTCTCTCATCGATGTTTCTAGCTCTCTATCTCTCTCCCTTCCTCTCTGTAAAAAATCAATAAAATATAAAAAAAAAAAAAAAAAGAAATGAAATCTTAATTCCATTCTGGGAAAGAATATTGTGACCAACAGTTGCTCTGATTATATCCTAATTCTGTCAAAAGACTGAGAAGAAAAAGGCGATAAAAAAAAGAAAAATTGTTATTTGACTTGAAGCTTTCATCAATCTACATCAAACTATTTCCCTTATTAAATATCTCTTTCCTCCTACCACAATTTGGTAAGTTAAACATAACAGGCACTTTTGCTTTCTTTAGCTTTAGTAAGAACACTTGTATACCACTAAAATATACAAGTGCTCTTGAGAAACCCCAATCAAGAATCAGATGAGCTGCACTCCTAAGTTTCACTTTAGCAGAGTTGCTCTTTCTTGTCACTCACGTGGGTTAAAAACTCCAAAATAGAAAGCACAATATTCGAGACTACGCCCAGTCTTCACTTAACAGTTCTGGAATCATGAAATGATAATGATTAATCTGGACTGCCAGAAGACTTTAGACTTTTTTATTTTTTTAAAGCAATTGAACATTCTTCCAGCAAAATACTTTATAAAAACAGTTCAGCTACATTGGTCCAAATGCTCTCTCACTACTATATATAGAGCCAAGATCATTAACCCTTGCTCCCAATCAACCCCTAGACAACCAGCCACTCAGGGAAATCCTTGCAACATACTTAAAAAACAAACAAACACATTAACCACCCTAGCCGGTTTGGCTCAGTGGATAGAGCATCAGTCTGTGGACTGAAGGGTCCCGGGTTTAATTCCGGTCAGGGGCACTAAAAATATATACATTTTTTAAATTAACCTAGTCCAACATTCTTATTATGTATATATTTTTTAATATACTTTTTTTTATTTCAGAGAGGAAAGGAGAGGGAAAGAGAGATAGAAACATCAATGATGAAGAGAGAATCATTGATCGGCTGCCTCCAGCACACCGCCCTACTGGGGGATTGAGCCCGCAACCCGGGCACGTGCCCTTGACCAGAATCAAACCCAGGACCCTTCAGTCCGCAGGCCGACACTCTATCCACTGAACCAAACCAGCTAGGGCTTATGATATTTTTAGTATCTTTTTAAAAAACATATGAAGATATTTTCCAGAAAGGCAAAAAAATAAATTCCCTTATTTATAGGTCAGAAAAGTGAGGCCCAAAGCATTCGATGACTTGCCAAAAGTCATTAACTAATTAATTAAATGCAGGAACCAGAGCCCTGAAGCCCAGCTTCATCCTATCACTCTAATCACTCACTACACCACACTATGATAGCTAAACCAACTATCTTGTCAAATTACCAAAATAGGCAATATTATCTAAAATTGTTAAAAAGGTTTCAGAACTATATATTTGCAGGACAAATTATATGATTCTAATTTTAACCTGCCAATAAATAAACCAACCCTTTACAGCAGTTAGTTTATCCTCATTCCAATAACATTTCTTAGATTAATTTCTTACCAGTTGTCACACAGTTGAGTGTCCTGGTCATCTAGAAATTCAGCCATCTTTAGCTCTTCCAGAAAACTACAAAAGTAGAAGTGAGAACTTTCAATTTCATTTCTGCTTTAAGGATGACAAGCAAAACACACACACAAAGAAACAGTGCACAGAAAATGTCACAAAAACTAGTGCATTTTATTTAATACCCAACATATGGGTTTCACCTTGTTTTTATTTTTAACTTTCACTTTAAAATAATTTGACTTACAGCCGAAACCGGTTTGGCTCAGTGGATAGAGCGTCGGCCTGCGGACTGAGGGGTCCCGGGTTCGATTCCGGTCAAGGGCATGTACCTTGGTTGTGGGCATATCCCCAGTAGATGTGCAGGAGGCAGCTGATCAATGTTTCTCTCTCATCAATGTTTCTAGTTCTCTCTCTCTCTCTCTCTCTCTCTCTCTCTCTCCCCCTTCCTCTCTGTAAAAAATCAATAAAATATATTTTAAAATAATTTGACTTACAAAAAAAAGCACAAAGAACTCCCATATACTTTTCACCCAAATAACCATAATAAAATTATCAAATGTAGGAAACTAACACTAATACAATACTAGCAACTAATCAGTAGATCTTCAAATTTCACAAATACCCTTTTTCTGGTTCAGGATCAAATCCAGGGTCACATACTGCATTGTTATTTCCCCTTAATCTCCTTTGACCTGGGATATTTCTTGTTTCTTCATCTCTCATAACCTTGTTAAGTGTATTGGCTATTCTGTAGAATGTCCTTCAGTTTGGGTTTGATGTTTTCTCATGATTAATACATATCTGGCAGGAATGCCACAGAAGTGATGCTGTGTTCACCTTGGTGCATTACATCAGAGAGCATATTATGTCAACAGGCTTATTATTACAGGTGACGTTAACTTTGATCACTTGGAGTGTCTGTCAAGTTTCTCCACTGTAAAGTTTTTTTTGTTGTTTAAAGTATTACGTCTCCTTTTTTCCCCCAATTAACCCCCTCCCCCCCCCCCCGCTTGCTGCCACTCCTACCCCCAGTTTTTCCTTCTTTTTAAACAAGATATCAATGCAGAAAGCAAAGTGCTGGCAATTTTATTACCAATATTTACTTTAGATTATGTCTTTCCATGACACAAAAATGGTCTTAAATGCTGCCTCCCAAAACAGCTCCTTAATGGTGTTGACATTTCCAAAGGAACTCACTTTTCAAAACACATTCATTTGTGCAACATGTTAAGACCCTGTGTGCCAGACGCTGTGCCCGGCATTAACAATACTTTACAAATTAAAGAAAGATAGTGTCTTGCCCGACAAATCAATTTAGTAAAAGAGAAAAATAAGCAAAAGAAATAGATACACCTTAAGATGAGTGTTTTGATGGAAAAGTACTCAGACAAAGGGAGATGGGAGTGGAGGGATCGGCTTTAGGTAAGGACGGTGAAGAACTTTCTGAGATGACATTGAAACTGAAGCTCCAAGAGTCGGACCAGGAAATGGGAAGTGAAGATCGCGGGTGAGAATTCGGGGAAACCCATTAAGGCCGTGGCCCTAAGAGGCAATGAAGGAAAAAGTAAACGTGGATCTGGAAGAACGTAAATAAAAAGGAGAATGATTCAAGAAGCCTCCTCCTGAGGGACAGAAAGGATGCCGAACACTCCAGGCCGGATGGCATTTAACCCGGGGAGTGACCAGATTCAAGGTAGCCACCCCGGTGTGAAATGGACACGGGAGAGGAAGCGCCTGCCGGGAAAATCAATCCCGTCCCCAGCAGGGAGCCTCGGGGCCGCTCTCAGGGCCGACTCGGGGCGACCCAGTCCACGAGACCCGGGGCGGCGCCTCGGAGCCGCGAAGAAGCCGGTCTACCAGCAAGGGGGTGGGGGCGGCCTCTCCGAGGGTCGGTTTGGCCCTGCCCCTCGGCAGCTGAGGGACGGACCCTCTCGGGGCCTGCAGTCCTCACGCTGACAACTGACAATATTCCCCGGGGCCGCTGTGGGGAGCGAACGGGCGAAGGCACGGAGGTTGGGGTGCAGGCGTCGAGGTGAGGAGGAGCCCGCCTTACCGACTCCGGAGGCCGCCCCTCGGCCCGAGGGGGCGGAGCGCCCCCTTCCGGGGAAGCGGGTCCCAACGGTCCCTCCCCCGGCGACGTCGGAGGTGGGGCCGGGGGGAGGGCCGCAGCCTGGACCCGGCAGCAGCTAACATTTATTGTGACCGTTTTCCACGGGAAAACGTTCTCCCCCGGACCACGACCCCACCCGGCGAAAGTCACCCCCACTCCAGAGGCCGCGGGAGCGGAAGTCCAGGCAGACACCTACCCGCCACACAGCTGGTCTGAGTGGGGACTCGAACCGGCGGCCGGAGGCCGAGCCCGCACTAGGCCACCGCGACCCCCGCCCTCCGCCGGCAGCTCGAGGCCCGGGCCCAGCTCCGACTGGGGCGCTCCCCAGCCGCGGGGGCCAAGGCCGGGAAGGGGCGGCGGCGGCGCCGGGGTCGGACGAGGCTCCGGTTCCCGGAGGAGAAAGCGCCGCCTCCACCAACGGCCTGAGGGGACGCTGCGGCGCCGGCATCTTGCCCCCAGCGGCCGCGACCCCCGGGCCTACAGCTCTCTCGCCCCCACTCCCCGCCCTCGGGTACCGGCCTCCTCCCGAACGGGAGGCCGCGGGAAGCTCCCCAGGAGCGGGCCGCCGCCGCACTCACCTACGACCAGGAGGACGTCGGGCTGATTCGGCAGCTCCGGCCCCGGAGCCTCTTCAGTCAAACCCCGCACTGAACAACGGCCCCCAAAGCCGCCTCACCATTTCCGACCGTCGCGGAGGAGCGCGTCCATTGGCCAGAGGCGGCCCCGCCTGTGCACCCATTGGACAGCACCGCTGTCGCTCCCAGGGCCCCGCCTCCTGTGCGCCGATTGGCTCCTCGGAGCTCTACGGGGGCGGGTCCGTGGAAGTCCCAGCCCCTGCACATCTGGAATGAGAGACATAACCAGTTCTGGGCCTATCACCTGCCTGTGGCACAGGCTAATAATATTTGCATGAATAATACCGTACAAACATTACTAAGACGCCTAATATATTAAGGTAATTGTCTTTTGTCCTCTTGTCATGAGCCATTAATACTTATTAGTCACTCTTTTTGCTATTACAGTGCCCTCTGGCAAGCAATATATCTGCAAGGTTCTGCCCATATTTGAGCACCTCGCTTTTTGCGGTGGAAGAGTGAGCGGCTGAGGCAGAGGACTGAGTCCCAGTTTCACTCCTTGCTACGGTATGGATTGTCTGAACTCCTCTTCCCTCATGAATAAAAAATAAATAAATAAACATTTAAATATAACCAAGAACGTCCTCTATAAAATACAGCAATTTCAAATCATGATTTTATTGTAGGTACTTGCAAATATTATGAGATAGTGCTAAGAAGAAAAAGCAGGTTACAAATTATTTATTTGTAACAGGACAGAATATTTTTAAAATATATTTTGTTTATTTGTTTTATTTTTTAATATATTTTTTTATTTCAGAGAGGAAGGGAGAGAGAGAGAGAGAGAGAGAGAGAGAGAGACAAAAACATCAATGATGAGAGAGAATCATTGATCAACTGCCTCCTGCACAGCCCACATTGGGTATCACTGCCTCCTGCACATCCCCACAACCAAGGCATGTGCCCTGACTGGCATCAAACCGTGACCTCCTGGTTCATAGGTAGGCACCACTGAGCCATGCCAACTGGGCTGGGACAGAATATTTAGTGTAAATAGGCAGTATAGTCTATGTGATTCCAAGAGTTATAAAGTTAAAAAAACAGGCAATATTAATTGATGGTGAGAGAAGTCAGAATAATGGTTCCATTTGGAGGCTGTGGACTACAAGGGAATATGAGAAAGTTTCCAAGTCCTGAAAACATTCTATAGCTCAATCTACAGAGTGGTAAACACAGATGTACTAGTAAGTAGTCACTAAGCTATACATTTACCAGTACGATTTAAACACTTTATATTGTGTGCTTAAATGTTTTTTCAAATTATTTTTATTTATTGATTTGAGAGAGAGAGAGAAAGGAAGAGAGAGAAACACCGACCTGCTGTTTCACTCATCCGTGCACCCATTGGTTGACTCCAGTATGTGCCCTGACCAGGAATGAACCTGCGTATGGGGACGATGCTCTAACCAACTGAGCTACCCAGCCAGGGCATTACCTTGTATGTTAAAGAGAATGTACCATTCAATATTCTCTTTTTTAAAATATATTTTTATTGATTTCAGAGAATAACAGAGAGAGAGTGAGAGAGAGAGAGAGAGAGAGAGAGAGAGAGAGAAACATCAATGATGAGAGAGAATCATTGATCAGCTGCCTCCTGCACGCCCCACATGGGAGATCAAGCCCCCAAGCCCTGCATATGCCCTAATCAGGAATCGAACTGGTGACCTCTTGGTTCCTGGGTCGACCCTCAACTGCTGAGCCACACCCAGCCAGGCTGTTCTATATTAGCATATCTATCTAGGGCAGCGGTTCTCAACCTGTGGGTCGTGACCCCTTTGGGGTTCGAACGACCCTTTCACAGGGGTCGCCTAAGACCATCAGAAAACACATATATAATTACATATTGTTTTTGTGATGAATCACTATGCTTTAATTATGTTCAATTTGTAACAATGAAATTGGGGGTCACCACAACATGAGGAACTGTATTAAAGGGTCACGGCATTAGGAAGGTTGAGAACCACTGATCTAGAGTATATATTTTTCTATTTATTTTTTTAAAATATATTTTTATTGATTTCAGAGAGGAAGAGGGAGGGAGAGATAGATAGAAACAGCAATGATGAAAGAGAATCATTGATTGGCTGCCTCCCACATGCCCCTGATGGTGATTAAGCCCGAAATCTGGGTATGTGCCCTGACTGGGAATCGAACTGCGACCTCCTGGTTTATAGGTCAATGCTCAACCACTGAGCCACAGTGCCAGGCTATATTTTTCTATTTCAATAATAAATCTATTGTCTGGATATAACTTATTCAACCAATTTGTTATTTTTAATAAAATATCAGTCCATAACTTCAGCACCAGCCTCACTGATTTGCTCAGCAAATGTAGAGTGCTTCCTATGTGACAGGCCCCAGATAAGAAACTGGAGCTTCAGTGGCAAACAGCAGGACAAGCTCCTGCCTTCCCAATAGTTTGCCAGGGAGACAGGCCCAATGGTAATGATAACAAGTGTGATACATGCTGTGATATAATAAAGAATATTCAGGTTTACCCGCTACCGAAAGTAGAGCATTCCTGTGAAACCTTTCATAAGGTGAAGTGGTGCAAATCAAAGAAGCTATTCCCTTAGGACACGTCTTGCTAACACATCTCAACTTAACAAAATAAGTTGAGCTAGAGCACAGATGCTCACAGACACCGTTCGAAGCTAGAGCAGCTTGATGCCGAGTGCAGCTCCTGGGGAAGGAGCTCGGTGATGCCACTCTGGGGGCTCCAGGTGTGCACTGCCTCTACAGTCACTAGCCGTCCATTTTGTACAACCCCTGGGAGCACCCTTCTAGTTGCTAGATGGGATGCTGCCCAATCCATGAATCGCTTGATAGCGCCTATTAAAACTCCAAATTGGCCTTAACTGGTTTGGCTCAGTGGATAGAGTGTCAGCCTGCGGACTGAAAGGTCCCAGGTTCGATTCCGGTCAAGGGCATGTACCTTGGTTGCGGGCACATCCCCAGTGGGAGGTGTGCAGGAGGCAGCTGATCGATGTTTCTAACTCTCTATCCCTCTCCCTTCCTCTCTGTAAAAAATCAATAAAAAATATATTAAAACTCCAAATTAGCTCAGGTGGATTTTATTTTTTAACAGTATGAGTCTTTGGGTCACAATATTTAGGTGTAGTTTCTACCTGCAGTGAATTTAGATTATTGGTAAACAGGTTTCTGACCTTTGAAACAGATTTTCCCATAGAAGAAGTGTTATAGTGGTGATTCCAATCTCAAG